GCAATTTCCCTTATTGCTACTAAAAATTTTAGTGTTTTGTTCACTCAACAAGCAACATTATGTAAAAAAAATAGTAATATTTTTGAGAAAACAAATACAAAAACTGGAAAAACAAAATTAGGGACAAACTTAAGGGGTGAGAAAGAAAAAATTATCAAAAAAAAAATAGAAAAAGACGAATATGGAGGAATTGGAAAGAATTACCAGAAGAGAAACATATAGGGGACGACCAAGGGATAATGAAGATAATGTCTTTTAATGTTAGAGGATTGGGAAAGTGTCAACAAGTTTTCTTTCATAATAATAAAAACGATGAAAAATGAATACGTTATTTGGGTATTCTAAAAATGTGTGTTTGTTGAAGACGAAGTTAGGACATCTTCATACTTAGGGATTATAAGTTTATACTTGGGTCTTATAAGAGCCTTTGCATTGGAGTATGTTAACATGACTATAACCCCCGGATCTTAAATAAGACCATGAATCATAGGCATTCTTTTTTTACAATATAAAAACTTTTGTTTTAGATTCCATAATAATAAATGGTTTTAGATTGAAGTGCAAATAGTATAATATTAAAGAAAGTTTTTTTCATCGAAAATAAAAACTTATAAATATATAAAAAAAATCATATCAGTATAAAAATTTACGAAATTATCGATAAATTTTACTAACATATTTATTATAAAAAAACTTTTTACTAAGTAAATTTCTCGGTAATAAAAATTTTATTTACCGATAAATATTTTATCAATAAATCCATCAATAATATATATTTTATTTACTCACGAATTTTTAATCGATAAATAAAATGAGAAAAAAATTTCAATCCAAATCTCGTATTTAGTGTTACATATATTCAATTTTTGTTAAAGATCAAGAAATAAAAAAAAAATTCATCTTCTCCTTCGCAACCCACCATCACTGCAACCTAGGATCTCGTCATTGTTGCTCTTCGCCGTCGATCGAGTTTACGGAAATCTAGCAGGCCACCAACACCACCAACAAGATCTTCTTCTTTCCCTTTTTTTTAATATCATTTTGTAGAAATAGGATTGTATGTGGACTGCCCTTTGTTTTGTTGCACTAATTTGGTACAGTAATAAATATGCATATTGGAGTGAAGTTTTTTAAAAGTATTGGAATGAAAGAAATACCTTCATATGAAAAATTAATAAAAACAAAAGGGATTAATTTTGAGGTGATATAAAGTGATGTTGAGTTGATTTTGTATTTTTCTTGTCAATCATAAATACTATTTTCTCTTTTATATATATATATATATATATATATATGGTAGGATAATGTGAGGTTGATCGTGTAGGCCAATTAGAAGGTTTGCAAGAAAAAATACAATGGCCTAAGTTTGAGTCCATTTTAGTTTGTCTCGTATGACCTACAATTCGTGTAGACTAACTATGGGTTGAGACAGATCGACTTACATAAATTTAAATTGTAAAAAAACTTATATGTTTTAAATATTAAATGGAAAAACAAATACTTGATGCAATAAGGTGGTTAGTAATCATTAGTATACAAGTGTAAAGGTTAAACACTCAAATAAATGTTTGAAGATAACCATTATGATTAATAATGCGTGAACATAACCATTTATGTACAATTTTTTTTTCATTTCAAAATCCATAATTGTTATTTTATTTTGAACCAATATTTTATTGATTATGTTTAAACTACGCTTTTAATTCTTCGGACGTAATGCATTATGCTTGTTTTCAAAACATCAAAATTAAAAAAAAAAATAAGCAATCTTTATGTAGGTTGACCTGCAAACCACTGGATAAGATGTTGTACTAGGCGAGCCATAAATATTTTTACAAAACTTTCTGCATTGTTTAGATACAAGTATGTGTATGTAAAAATTTTAATTTTTTTAATTGAGTATGAGAATATAGATGTGTATGTATATATCGGTCAAGTTCTTATCCCAATACCTATACATATCTTTTTCTTGTCACAATTCTCATCCACACTCTTTTTTATTCTCTTTTAATTGTTTAGTTTTTTCTTATCACTCACAAAATTCACTCACATTTTCAAAGTATTTTTATTTTTATCAATATCTTAATTAGATATTTTTTTTATGTGTTTATGTTTAAATGATGTAATCAAAATTTTAGTGAATCAAATAGTTTTTAGATCTTAAATTAGATTATTTAGTTTTTTAATTTTTTTTATTTAGCTTATTCATATGAAAATGTTTGATTCTCAATTTTAAATGTTCAATAACATGAATACTTCATTTATTTAGTAATATAAAAAATATATCCTCTTTATTATCTTGGATATTTGATTTTTGTTTTATTTGAAGAACCTTTTATTTCATTCAAACAATTTCATTATCTCTTAATGGTTTGATTAGTTTCATATCTGAAAAATTTTCTCTAAGATACTTCCTATCTCACCATAAGCTATAAGAAAATTTAATATTACCAATGATTAAAATTTGTCGATAATAACTAATATTTGTTGGTAAATCAAAACTATCGACAACCTACCAACAATAAAAAAATTTGTCAAAAAAATGTTAGTTGATACATTTTATCAACAGATAAAAAATTCATCAATAATTATTGATGATTAAAAATTTGTCGGTAATTTTCTATCAATAATTATCAACAAATAATTTATTAGTAATTATTGACATATTTTTTCGTTAATAAATATCACAATTTTTTTCTTTCTCCTTCTTTTTCTTCTCTTCTCTTTCTTTTTTTTTCTAGTACATTTCTAATTAATTTATAAATATATTTGATAGATTAAGAGAGATATTTGATTTATAAATCGTGATATTTATGTTTATAAACATGTTTAATTTATAAAACATATTTTTATTTGATTAGGAAAGAGATTTGATATTCAATTTATCAAAACATTTATCAATAACTATTTAATCAGTAATCAAAATTCTATTTGATAGATAAATTTATCGACTAATCACAAAATTATCAAAATTCAAAACGAAAAATGTAATATTTTTGTAGACAAAAAATTTGTCTGATAATAATAATTTTACATCATTTACGAATTTTATCAACAAATTTATTTTCGTTAGATTTTATCATCATATTTATTTTTTCGATAAAATTTAGTCTGTTATTAAAAAACTTATTGTAATAATCTTAATTATATATATTTTTTTAATTTGGTGTGTATGAAAAGAAAATTAATAAACAAAACATATCGGTGGATTTTATCTAGACAGCAAAAAGGCCAAGCAAACGTGTATCTCTTAATTAAAGGAGCGTTATCTAGGTGTGATTGACATCTTAGTGTCTTGTAATTGAAATGAGAGAAGAAAATCCCAATGAATGAATTTGAGGTGTAGGCAAAAAGATGGTAGGGCAGTGTATATTGAGAGTGATATGACGAACTGTCACTTCCAATTTTTGGTGCCGAGTTTGAACTGAAGGACAAGTACAAGCTACAAATAGCATACCACCATCACCATCTAATGTTCTCTTCTACACCTTCCTCCACCACGAAGCTTCCACCATCTTTCCTTCCCAATACTATATTCTATACTATATATTCAATGCTTGCTTAGTATAATTCTTCCATCCAACATTTCATACCCATTTTCTGTTTCTAAATAATATATTGGAATGTGTGTCGTCACAGGTTCATTGAGATGAAAGTAAGTCAAGTGTCACACTATGAACAGAGACAACCTCTGTCATATACATGTAGGGTTAGGGTTAGGGAAATTCTCTCTTTTTTCATGGTTAATTGGTGTTTGAGGAAACATTAAGAAATAAATCAATATTTGATTTCGCTGTACAGACAGGTAATTTATTTGACATGCATGGAATCCTTTTAGATTATTTTCTCGTAAAGCTAAATATACATGTAAAAATTCATGAATATCTTATATATGGCTGTTTTTCTTTTAAATATTTTGACATGTGATAAATTAATGTATAGGAAAAAAAATGTAAAAATGTTATTATATGAATTATTCTACAAATATCTTTTCTCATCTCTCTTAAGTCTTATCTCTAAATTAAATTTTAGTCATTTTTAAAATATATAGCTTTGTCAACCATATATAAATTTTAATTACATTTTAAAATTTTATCATTAATTTAAAAACAATTTAATTTCCAAATATTTACTTGTTGTAAATTTTAATTGTACTGCCATATATATATATATATATATATATATATATATATATATATATATATATATATATATACACACAAACACATATGAATTTAAATTTTATAAAATAAATTATCTTTTATATATTAAAGAAACTAAAATACTAGTGATATATAAAAAATAAATAAAAATACTTGGATCCGACTACAATAAGTTTTCTTTAATCTCTTGTTTCTGAATATGAATAATAAAAGCTAATAGATTTGGTGTGTCAAGTTTCAGTGAAGAGTGTGTGTGTGTGTATATATATAACTGATTTTAAGTGTGTTTAGCTAGAGAAATAAATAGTCTTGAGTGAATTGATTTTCATAAGCAAAGGCAGAGAACTTTATTAACTTCTGACAAGCATTTTTTTTTAAACAGTACCTCATTTTAATTCAAGACAGTACTTTATTTCAATTTAAGTTTACACACCTCCACAAAAGGTTAATTTCATATATGAGACCTTCATTGATGAAGAAACATGAACACAAGATCCGGTAACAAAGTAGTACAAGATCATGCCATTTTAATTTGAAAAGATAAAAACATTTAAGATATCAAACCTATAATTAAGAAGCAGAAAAACACAAACAGATGGAGAAATTAATAAATCAGCATCATAATAAAGAATACTAATCAAAGATAAAATATGTAAGAAAAAAAAAGAGAGAGATTGAAAGGCCGGCTAGAATAGTTGTCTTAGGAAAGATGAAAGACTTTTCCACAGATATGAGATAGTATGAGTATTAATTATAGGTAGGTAATGTCTATGTCTTCAATTTGTCTCTTCCTGAAACCACCTCCACCTCTCCTTTCTATAATAATACCCTCTCTTAGGACTCTCTCCATGTCTCACATATACAATTATTAACTTGTATATCAAATTAGTTAAGTCCATTTCTCCCTCTTCACCATGGACTTAAACTACCCAGAAGATTTCTACTCCAACATCTCCACCCTAGAAACTTCTCACCATGATCTCCTCGGAACTGCCAGATCCTACGAGTGCATCTTTTGCAAGAGAGGCTTCACCACAGCACAAGCCTTGGGTGGACACATGAACATACACAGAAAACAAAGGGCCAACAACAACACCAAACCCACTGTCCCTCCTCCTTCAACTTCTAACAAAGTTGATGCAATCAACAACCATGCAGATCTCGTTCAAATTCCAACCCAATCCACTCCTTCTCATGCTAATCATCTTTCTTTTCCACCCACTTCACTCACTGTTACACCTTCCCATGCTCAGCTTTCGTCTGCAGAAAAAGACCAACTGGGACACGTCTTTCTGCAGGATTGGAGTACCACAAATTTGAGCTTCTACTCTAATCCATTGTGTCTTCATCAAATTAAGAATAAGTTTGAAGACACTGAAGAGAATGGCCTGGATTTGGAGCTCAGGTTGGGTCATCATCCATAGCATATGCATATACATATCATGCTATACATCCATCAAGCATGTATAGATATAAAGATATGTATCAGATGAGAGCACGTAGTAATCACTAGAGAGCAACTAATTTATATATATATATGTATATGCTTTTCGGTTCCTATATTATGGACATTAAGAAGAGATGGGTTGAACCGGCATGAAGTAAAAGCTTGGAGATTCTTCTTTGTGAGAAAGGTACCCAGAATTCTTATGAGGAAGGTACTGCTCAAATAAATTTTCTCTTGAAATAATGTCTTGCACTTACAGGATTCTACACCAGAAGTAGTACTCATGAAGTTCCTAATTATGTGAATGTTCCTTTTGGTGATCATTTTGAATTTGTTTTTGCTTTGGTACACGACATTCCTTGCTGTTTACAATAAAAATGAATTAGGTGAGTTCTATTATATATGTATTGTACTTTATTAAGAAACTCTGAACATATAATCCAAAAACTGTGTCCATAAAGAATACAAATCATTTTTCTTTGCATTGTTAGAAGACAGGTGATCGATAACGTAACTGCTCCGGCAGGATGAGTATTAGGTCACTAAATCCATACACAAGAAAACATAATGGTTGTGTTATGTTATTATAAATTCCTAGATATATTGGTGACTAAAATTTCAAATATAAACATACATCATTGAAATTAAATTTCTTTGTTTTACTTCGTATTGAAGCAACAAGAAAAATTATTACAAAATTATGATTCATTTTGCTCCGTCTACCTGTAGTGTGAATTATAGTATGCAAAAAGTGTCGGTGATTTGTAAATAAGAAAACAAAATTAAACTTTACTGCAATTCTGTAATATTTTTTATGTTACTGTCTAATCGGAAGTAAATATTCATTTCTGCAATTTATATAGACATTTAATGTATGCTTTTATTACTGAATATTATCCAGATAGAATATATAGTTCTGACCCAAAAGTAATAGTCAAAATATACATAAAATTGAGTCTAATTATTTGTTCAATAAAAAAATCACAATAATAACATACGGAACAATTTTTTATATCAAGAAAAATAATTTGATTTTTTCTTCTCTTGGGGGTTAGGAGAACTGCTTGTCTGGTCTATAAAATAAATGTTGGCATGTTAAATAAATGTAATCATTCCAGTAAATGTACCATAAATTCTTTGTTGTTGATTTCATTAAAAATTTCCCATTCTTATCTAATTGTGTATCTGAGTTCTTTCCATTGTTTATTTTCTTTGATTTCATTAAATAAATGTAATCATTCCAGTAAATGTAGCATAAATTCTTTGTTGATTTCATTAAAATTTTCTCATTCTTATCTAATTGTGTATCTGAGTTCTTTCCATTGTTTATTTCTTTGTTTATGAACTACAATTAGCACGACTCTCGTCAAGCATTAATGATAATGAAGTAGAGTTTAATATAGAGTAAAAAGACTTTTTCACCAACATATATGTATCTTGGTGCTACCCATATGTGGCTCAATCCATTTTCTTATCTGTATCTTTTTATTTTTCGTATTCTGATTATACATTTCCGTTAGAGCACCCCAATTGATTCTATTTATCCATTTTTTTAACTGATAAAAAATTATAGAGAGCATACATGAACCTCAAAAAAATAGAAAACATAAACATTTACGTGATTTTATAGTATATTCTTTCAATTAAAAATAATATATATGAAAATATAAGTGTTTTTTTTCCATCTCAAATAGAATCCCAAGTTTGATAGTTCATCCAAAAAAATTTGTTTATCCTAAGTTCTTTTACTACATGTGATCACACGTAATTAATCTGGTCACTTGGAGTTAGATATCTCTATTACTGTTTTTTCAATTTTTCACAACTCTCTTGAGACATTGAAATTTTCTATATTAGAGTACTTTTACTTCAATTTTTTATACTATCCTTATTTATTTTTCTCTTTTCTATTTCCTTAACAAGTAATTTTGGAAATTCTATTTGTATTTTTCTCTCTCAAGTCTTTCTATACTAGACAGACGGACGGACAAAAAAAAAGAGAAATACAAAAAATTAATGTGAAGAAAAAGTATGCAATAGGAAAAAGTAAGTTATTAATTTGATATTCGTATTTAAGTGCATGTAAAGGAATGTAAATTGTACATAAATAATGTCAAAATCACACTTTACTCAGACGCCAATTTTGCACACATTTACATAATGATGTAACTTATTTCTTTTCAACCAAGTGTAAATTACACGTCATTACACATAATGTGGACTTTATTCAACTGCCAACAAGAAGAAGAAGAATAATAACATCTCTTTTATTTCTGTTTGTAAATAATATATTTAAGCAATATATTTGTCATCATGAACGAATTATAACTCCAAGGAAAGGTAATTTTCAATTCTCTAGTAATGAGATGAAGATATATATGTCTTTTTTTCATATTTATTTATAATGAAATTTAAACTGCCTCTTGTACCAGGAATGACTTTTTTAGGTTAGACATATGAACCATCGAACTTCAAACATTTAACTCATGACCTTCAGATAGCCAGTAATCGAAGTTATATCCAAGACGTGTTATTTTCATATGGCCATTTTTTTTTTCACTTTTGGATACGTTTATTCCAAAACTCAACAGTATATATACACTTTTACTGTAATGTATTCTTTGATAATTTTGAATGTGAATATGCAGCTTACTGCACAATCTTTATTCTCTGAATTGCATGTGGTTAGAAAAAGTTTAAAAGAGATGCGTGATATCTGGGAAATGCATGCAACAATACTAATTGGAACAACATACAAACAGTTTGTGAAAATGATGTGTAAAGTAACCTGTCTGTACGATCTTACTACATTCAGCAGTGTTCCAGATTCCTGATCGATACGATTAGTTTGTGTGTTAATTAATTAAAATCTAGAACAACACGAAAATGCCAGACAACAAAACAGAAAAGAAAATTAGAAGAGAAAAAGAAATATGAAAAACATGTATGAGTCATGATGATTGAGGACGATGTTTGTATATATTCGAACATTTGAGCATGCCATGGACGGAGGTTCTGCATGACTTGGCCTTCAATGCACTGTGCTACTTTTTCTCTTAATATCATGTTTTTGTCACTCAGATACGGGTTGTGCCCCGCAATTGATTTTGGTTTATCGTTTATCTTTTGACTTCTTTTCTTTTATGATTCCATTCTGTGGGTTAAAAGGAAAAAACATTTCCTCCTATTTTGGTAAGGTTTCTTAGAAGATCGTGACTGAAAAAATCCCTAGAATCGGCAAAAAAATATCTGTATGACCAAGTCCAAACTCTACGGAACGTACACACATGAACAAGAGGTGTCACTTCGACTTTCTACTTTGCTGGTCAAATCTGTATGTCTCTGCCGTCCATGCAAAAAAACATGAAAAACATATGAAATTGTTATTTGATTTTATCATGATTAATAATCTTATATAGTTTAGGAATTGAATTCAAATTCTGTTTAAATATTTTTTTCTAAAATATTATTTAAAAATAAAATTATAATAAAGTTTTAGGTTTCAAACAGGCAATATAAAAATACACACTATTTTTAAATTATAATGGAATATATATATATATATATATATATATATATATTTGAAATTTGTAGGAATGAAGACGACAGTTGTGAAGTGTTGAAATATTATCATGCTTCTAAAAACATGTACACCTGGCGCTACATGACATTTTGAAAAGGCAAAGACAACAGGACAAAGTGAAGTGTCAGTGTACAAAAAGGAGTGATAAAACAAAGATAGGGTCACTGCTCAGTCACCAGTGGAGTCACGACAAACCAATATTATTCCTACCTGAAAATTTTAGGAAAATGACACTTGAACAACCATTTTTGACAACATTTAGACACGCGCACACGTGTCAAAATCTGAGTGGTCCATTTTCATTTAATTTTTCCAACTGCACCACTCAGATTTTGACACGTGTGCGCGTGTCTAAATGTTGTCAAAAATGGTTATTCAAGTATCATTTTCCAAAATTTTATAGCATTTTTTCAGAATTATTCTTTTAACAGTATTTGTTAGGAAAAATTTCTATACAGTGGTTTTTGTTTTTTAGGATTGATATGTCTAACTCAAAATATTTAAAATTATTCGTTTTATTATTCAATTGCGTTATTTTTTTTTCTTTGTTCTATCTTGTTTTTTTAAATTGAATATTTAAAAAATTGTTCGTGAGTAACTTTTATTTATAAGCATAATTATTGTTCATTTACTTCTTAGAGTTAACTGGATTTAGATTTGATTAGTTAACCTGTGTTTGGATCATTTGGATCATTGCGCGAATTGTCGAAGACATCAATATTGCAAAGTTCAAAACAATTATAAATAAAATATTAATAAAATACAAAAAATGCGATGATTCATCGCCTTATTTCAAACAAAGTCCAATGCTTATTTAAGCATGGGTTTTTATTTTAATCCTATCATGATGTATTTATTTTTCTTTTAAATTGTATATGTTTATTGAGAATTTTTGTTCGAAAAGGTCTAATGTATTTAAAACTAAACCAAATTAATTTAATATGATTTTTTTTTTGTTTGAATCTGATTTAGAGTGTAAGGATTTTCATGATTCTACTAATTGTTGGACTAAAAGGGAGAGTCACACACACTCACAGAAAAAGAGGCAATGATACCCAGTAATAGTGAGTATAGAATATATGCATTAATGAATCAAACAGAGGTATTTAAGGTACATTAAGTAAAGACAGTAGTTTTGTTAACTAACTAACTGTACATGATCTTTAATTACTTCCTAACACTCCTCTTTGATTAAAAATCACTTTTAGGAAAACCATACAACATTTAATGAATCCCTTAACTTCTTAAATTTGTCAATCTTCGAAGCCTTGTTAGTATGTCAGTTAATTGGACTTTACTTCTGCAATGCTTCATCTGAATCCCACCTTTGTTAACTTAAACCCTTAGAAAATGAAACTTTGTTTCTACGTGCTTACTCTTGCCATGAAATAGTGGGTTTTTTTGCCAGATCTTATGGTAGATTTGTTGTCAACAAGCAGTTCCACCGAATTGTTACATGAAACCTTCAATTCTTTGAATAAGGAGAATAACCACAAGACTTCACATGCTGTTGAACATGCTGCAATATATTCAACTTCACTATTTGATAGAGCCACCACAGTTTGCTTCCAGGAGATAGGTGATCCACCCAGTAGGAAAATCTGACCACACTCCAATCTGAATCAGAATAAGCCACCAGCCTTATTTCATCATTTTCTTTATCATTTTGATTTGAAAACAGAACTCCAAACTCCAAAACTCCTTTCAGGAATCTTAGAATCCTCTTTGCAGCTAGCATGTGCTTTTTCGTTGGACTACTCATAAACCTGCTAACCAATCCAAGGATATT